GTTTTTCGGGCTTTTAGGACGTCGCGGAAAATATTTTTTTTCCGGCTAACCAGTTTGTTTGGCAGATGGATGGGGTCGCATGTAAGAAGATTCCAGTTACGTTTATTTCTTTCTCTATCCCAAAAACAATACTTTTTTCTAATTCAATTGCAATTATACGGTAAGTTCTTCCAAAAACTCGATTAAAAGCGGGAAGAAATATCAGCAATGGCTAAACAACATACAAATTTCAAAAATGTAATTAAATTCGACTCGAGAAGAACAGTATACCTGGTACAATTTAGGGAAAAACTAGCTTAAAAACGTATAAAAGCTGAATTAGATAAATTAGGAAGCAACAATGTCAATGAGAAAAACGAACAGAAAACGGAAACAGAAAAAATTGAGAAATAAATTGTGGATATTTTCGAGAGCATGCAAAATGCTGATAATTTCAGTCAGTCAAATTGGATACAAAAAAAAATTCGAAAACAAAGTTTCGTTTTCGCCTTGTTCAATATGTAGTTTTAATTGTGAAAGAGCGAATGTGGTGGTTGCTTCGGGCGACACACCCCTGAAGATGCAAGCCAATCGTGTTTGTGAGACGTCGGTAAGAAATTCGTGACGACTTAAATGAGCGAAAAACTCGTCAGTGAGAAAATTTCTGATTTTTTCAACGGTAACTGAAGCTGAAGCAAATCACCGGCGCAGTAACTCGATTCCGTTGCTGGGAAAATGTTGATGATCTGTTTTCCTTAATTGTTTTCACATTTATTTTAACGTCAGTGTTCAGGCACTTTCTGCGAAAAATTAACAAACAAATTTTACTAGAACACTTGCGTCCTCGTCGCTTTGCAAACATTTTTGAAATCCGTTTCCAGCTTCGAATTTTGCACAAAAAACAAATATTTTTCATCAAAAAACGATCAGAATCAGCGAGGTAATAATACATTATTTGGAAAACTAGTCACCCCCATCCCTCTGGAGACTGTAGAGTTTGTTAAAAAAATTGTGGTCTCTTAGTTTTGACCGGTTTTTCCTTGCTTTACTTTCTACACAAAAACGCTCTATTTTTAGGAATTTCATTTAAAAATACTAACAATCTTTCTTTTACGCGACAGTTAAAAATTACATTTTTTAATGTCGAATTCGGGACGAAAACGAAAATAAATTTGTCTCGTTTTTTTCCGAAAATCATTAAGGTTTTCTGAAAAACCGATCACAAAACTAAAAGTTTTTAATCAAAAGCGCAAAAAAGACAAGGACAAAAATTCTCCTCATTCATCGTTTTCTCGGGAATTCCAGAAAACCCTTTTCAGCTTCGAATTTGCCACAAAAATTAGATAATTTTATTTAGTTTTTTAGCGATATAGTAATTACGATTATATTGAAAAAAAACGACAAGCGAGCAAAAGTTTATAAATTTTTTTTTCGAAATTTCGCCACTCTCATCGCTCTGAAGATTCTTAGTTTCTTTAAAATTTTAGGCCTTTCTAGTTTCAGCAAATATTTTATCAAGCGATTCTTTCTACGCAAAAAAAAAGGATTGGTTTTTCGCTTTACTTTAAAATACTGACAGTATTCAGGTATTTTCGGTGAAAAATCATAAAATAAATTTTATTGGAACACTCGCCTCCTTAACAGCTTTGTAAMAAATTTGCTAAAACTTTCTCAGCTTCGAATTTTGGACAAAACCCAAATAATTTTGTCTTGATTTTTGCCCTACAATATTTCCCCGAACAGAACAAGCGAAAGTTGAACATCTTTGTCACTGTGAATAATTTGTTTTTCTTTAYTTCGGTTTGTTCGCTTTTAGGACAATATTTTTAAACAAAACTTTCTCCAAACTGAAAAACGCGTTTTTTTCCTAACTTTTTTCGGTTCAGAACTGGTAAACTAAGAGTTTTTTTATGCAGAAAAAATTAAGAGATCGATTTTACCAGAAAACTCGTCGTCTTTATAGTTTGGTCTTCTTTATCGTCTTTTTTCGAATACCCGGTTTACCTTTGATGAAAATTATCTTGTTTTTTAGGTAAATATGGGAAGAACTGAACTGAATTGAAAAACTCACCAGTTGCAATTTAGTCAATTTTTCAATAAACAACATAATCGACATTCGCCTACGCCCGTTGAAACAAAGACCAACTGGAAGGAATTCGGAAATATTCAATTTTCCCGATTATTGGTCATCTTCAATTGAGCCCTTAATTAATTAAAACAGGCAAGCCACAAATGACTGGGAGGGCGAACAATTGATTGCGTTCGGTCCCTCTTCCAAGGTGAATTAACAGCATTTATCTTCTACGGTTATACGATTTAAGTTAAAGTTATAATTAATGCCTGAATTACGTCGTATCAGATTTCCCATTGGTTCGAAGCGATTTATCTTCGGATTACCGGCATTAGAGCTTTCAATAACCAACAAGGCTGGATTACGCGGCTTTTGTTTCCTGTATTGGAACGTCAAGACAATAATTGTTATGGCATGACCGATGGCCCACATGAAATGCTCCATTAATCAATTACTTTTATATCGGGGTGTATTAAATAAATCGGCGTCGGTAAACAATACGAATTGTTTCGCAATTAAATTGCACTTTACCCGAACGTCTGTTGTTAACTAATTGCAAAATTCGGACTGAATACAATAATTTCCTGCATTTAAATGGCATGAACTGCTTGTATGTATGTATGACAGTACATATAAATGTGTAAAGTGTTCATTTGGGACAATGGAAATAGAATTATGTTTACTTTTTGTTAAATAGAGTTTAGTTTCAATTAGAGTTAATGGAAACTGGCCAAAAATGTATTTAGTTAATGAACGCTTCATTTAATGGTTTTAGGATAGACAGACATTGATAATTTTTGCAATATTGGCTAATCAATTAAGGTTGTTAAACGATTTAATGGAAGGTTTTCCAAGAGGAACTAAGGACCGAGAATATTACAAAAAAAATGCTGGCGTTCAAACTAAAGTGCCTCTACTAATACAGACCAGGTGCACTTAAGCTTGTGTTATTTACATTTCCAGTCCGTAATTCACGTAACAATTGAAGAAGCGCTTCGTCGACTCGTCGACCCTTGTAAATATCTTATGGGCAATTTTCGTTGCAGAAGCTGCTTTCGGATTCAATCTTAACTGTTGCCGAGCACACGTGCAAAATGCAGCCATTCCGGAGGCTTAGCCTAAGCTTCCAGACACCGATTTTGCACCGTTTTCCTCTCGAGGAACAAATCTTGAGCACATATTCCTCGCTTTTATGCGCGATGTCTTTGGGGAGACCGGTAATATTTGACTTGGGGGATATTCTGTTTACAGGGCTAGTTGCAAATCAAGCAAACACCGGTCCGTTTGGTGGCTGCTATTGGTGGAGAGCTTCAAAGATGTTTTATCTGGGAGATTTTAGTGCAATTGTCTGTTAGAATAGTTGATTATGGCCCCCAGATCAACTTCATTGGTTCTCGGCTTCAGCTGCTGCACTTATTCAATGTTTCTTTGTCAGTGTTTATATGTGAATTAGTCCTATACTTGATGGACTATTTTCCAGCTTCCAGCTAATTTCCCCGACAATGTGGATGGGCCACACAGTAAAGCGATTGCAATTTTCTTTTGAAAATTGCACACTTTTTTGTGTGCATACATTTCAGCCAAAGCCGCACCATTCTAAACAAAAAGTCTTCCTTTGACAAATAAAACTAAATCTATCTACTAAAATGTACTGAATGCACATTTTTTATTATTTTTCTCAAGTGGAACACAACACAACAAAACGAAAAATTGCGTGAAAATCTAAGAATATCAGAGAACACACATAAAACCAATCCAAGTATTATTTGTGAATAATTTAGGACAATTTTTTAATGGATTTAACAAAAATTTGATTGAAAAAAGATGATTTAGAAGACTCTTCAACCGATTTCAACTTCATATAGCCATTTTCGAACTGCACTAGTTCAATTCGAAGAGGGACCGAGTGCAAATTGTCCATAAGATATTTACCGAAGTTGATAGAATTTCAGTTCAATAAGTTTTCCGATTTATTTCCAAGCGAAGCAAATAAAGGACATAAAATCCGGACATCAACTGAATGCTGAATGTAGTCTTCAAATATATGTGTTTATAACTAATGTTAGCAACAAAGGATCCAAATTGAAAAAGGTTAAGCATGCAGTTAAACTTTAAAGAAATTACGAAAAAAATATGTTTTTTCCAAAAAAAATCACTAACAGGTAACATGAACGGGGTCACGAATATTTGACAAATTTTTCGGAAGGGGTTTAGCAAAGAGTTTCATAGTAGACAAGGCGCATTTGGTGTTCATATTTCTTCAGGTAAAAAAATGCTTATATAATTCCGCATGCTTATTTCACAATTTTATGTTCAACTGTGCAATAAAATATCGATTTCAGGATGCACTAAACGCCATTCATTAATGATTGATTTCTTTGCTCAGATCCAGTTTTCAAACCAATATCTTGGGACAAAATGCATAGAAATCTTCTTTATTAGTTCTCAATTTTTGTAAACAATACCCGTTGGTACTTTGAGTTAGAGAAAAAGAGGAATCGCCGAACAATTAGGGATGGACTGAACTGTGGGCTGGAGTGCAAACATTTTCATTCTAGCTCTCAACACTCTAATTACTTAATGAGATTTACACCATGTATAGATCGACAAATAAAGAGGCAACAGAATCTGCAAGTTATTTTCCTGCTTTAATTCAAAATCGGCAACGTTGTTTCGCTAAGAGCCATCAAAAGCTCAAGCATGGATTATTCAGGATTTCGCACTGACAAGCAGCCAAATTACACCGGTGTGGGTTTATATTGCACCAAGTTCAATTATTTACAAGGAACTTGTAAATATATGGAACTGCTTTATATCACCCATCTCTCTTATGTTTATTTCTCGTCTTTTCACCCGAGCAATTTCGCTAGTGTTGCTCGAATCGAGCAAAAACTTGAGACGATTTAAGCGAACAAAATCATAAGCAAATATTATCCAGCAAAACACTCACCAGATATGCCGTCGTATGTCCACCATTCCTGCCAATTGTCGCAGTCAACTGCAAAGAAATAGAAAGAAAAATTAAGAATTGTACAAAATGTAACATCTTGATACATAAAACACAAAGCTTTTCTTAATCCCTATAATCAATTCTTCACGTACTGGCACAATGTTTTTCAAAAGTATCTGATTCCGGCTACATTTGCATTATTCCTTTGGCACGTCTTCCAGAATTAATCCAGCAACTATCTTGGGATACTCAGTTACGGCTGCTGAAGCTGTTTATCATCGAGAGGAGCGCAAACAGCGGTCTGAACTACATTCGGAGGTTCATTGGCTCCGTTTTATCAAACAGTCATAGTGGCGCCCAGACCAGCAAAAACTATCGGAAATGGGGGGCTAAAGTTGCAAAGAGGCGCCAGACGGACTGGCTCTGCTGCTCTTCCTGTAGTCGTTACATCTTTATGGATTGAGGCGGAAGATTCGGTTTCAATCGGGGTGAAAAAGCATCCCTCCATCGATTAATACGACGCTTTTATTGTAAGACTTTTAGATTCTGGGCTGCTTTCTTTAACGAAAATATTTTTAGGGATATTTTCCCGATCGTTCGGTGGCTGGATGGAAGTAGGTACGCCTTTATGGTCAGGATCCTATTAGCTTGAGGCATCGCATCGTGCAAGACGTGCTAATCAAGGCGTCGTTACTCGGGTCTTCTAATTTGAATTGCATACTTTGGGTAAATTAGCATGCTGCTTGACTGAGACCGGCATCAGGATCCCCGATCCGTAACTAATCTTTGCGGCAGCCGCAAGGCGTGAACCAAAGTTCACGGATTAAAATTTTTAAAGCGGAATTATCGAGATGGAATTCATTCATGTTTTACTATTAAAACTGTTTTTATAAACTTACTGTTTCTATAAACGTCGCCACGCGAACCTGCTCATTTATTGTCACTTTTATTTTCTCTAGTTATTATTCCAGCGTGTCGCCCTTAAGATGAAAACAGCCCTATATTTTATTTATTTTTTGAAGATTCGGTACAGAAGTAGAACGATTAACTAAGCTCAGTTTAACATTTCTTTTTCTAACTTCAGCCAAGTCCACAAAAGGAAAATTTCTGCACACGATGAGAGAAGGTGATGAGTTGAAACGCTTAGAATCTCCTCTGGATTATTAACTGCAAGAACCAATATTCACAAAAAGTGAATGCTTGCTGCGGAATTTTAGGTGACAGAATAGTTGGTATATTTTTCATCCCCATTAGCTTAAACGCTCAGCGATTGCTTAATTTTTTWATAATTTTAATTTTGATGTAAGTATCTTTTGATTTTTTGGCATAAGTCATGAATTGTTGCATTTTTCGTTACCCTAGTGTAAACTTCGGAATTTGCGTGAAAATTTAAATCTTTACTTGAATCTGAGTGTYCAAAGTTAAAATAACATTATGAACAACTTTTCTAGTGACTTTTTCTGATGATGTTAGAAATCATCTCCCTTATTCGCCAAGTCKCAATTGGCTGGGTTTACATCTGGAGTTAGAAATGGGAAGGCTAAATAAACGAACTCAGTATGTTCCACCTCTGTACCAAAACTGCAAATTCCTACTTCTAAAAATAAGTAAAATATAGGGGTTTGCATCTTCAATGRCATTTGCATTTAAATGATAAGTCATTTTGGCAATACTGAAAAATATTGATGATAAATGAAAAAAAGTGATAATRAAAATATTTTTAATAAACGCGGTCGTCCTGCTCCTTTTTAGTCAACAGAACAACAAAGAACACTCAACACTCCACTCGAAGGCTCAATATTCGCAGATCAATGGAATGTTTTTTCAGTGTATTATTGGTTCGACTTAATATGAATTAATATTAATATAAATAAAGTGCTGCGCAGATAGCTTGGTGTGCCAACCCAGCGCACCGGTGCACTAACTCAGTTCCGTTGATGTGAAAATGTTGACGACTTCTTTAAAACTTTTTTTAGATTCATTTTAAAGGCAATTTATTAATAATATTTTCAAAATGTCTTCAAATTTCTGAATTTTCCATTTTCCATTTCCACCTTTTAGCCATGTTACTCTTTCTTCTAAATGATCAATTTTATAAAGTTTCCCTTAAAAATGCTGATGATCATTAAAAATGATAATCTTAAGGTATTTTCTGCGAAAAATTATGAAATAAATTTCGAATCCTTCGTCGCTTTGTAAAAAGGTTTAAAATCTCTTGCCAGCTTCGAATTTGGAACAAAAATCAAACAATTTTCTATCAAAAAACGAACAGAATACGCGAAAGTTTATCACAGATTACTTGGAATTTATTAAAAATGCGTTTTTTTTCTCCTCAAAAACGCTCTATTTTGTAGTTTCACTTAAAAATACTGACGATCTGGAAAACTTTTACGCGAAAAATAACAATACAAATTTATAGCTTTGTAAAAAATTTACAAAAACTAACTTTTTTCAGTGTCAAAATCGGGACAAAAACGAAAATAAATTCCTACAGTTTTTTCCCGAGAGCCACTCAGGTTTTCTCCAAAACCGATAACAAAACTGAAGGTTTTTAATCGAAAACGCAAAAAAGCATTATTTTCTTCTGTTCTGACAATACTGGGTGTTTCAAGTCAAAAATTACAAAATTAATTTTGCCAGAAAATTTGCCCTATTTATCAGTTTGCAGGGAACTTTAGAAAACCCTTTTCAGCTTCGAATTTGCCACAAAAACCCAATAATTCTATTCAGTTTTTTACCGAAAGTAATTAGGACTATCTTAAAAAAACGACCAGAGACGAAAAGTTTACAAAAAAATTATTAGGAAAATTCGCCGCTCTCATCGCTCTGAAGTTTCCTAAAGGTACTTTAAATTTCCAGGTCATTCTAGTTTTAACAAAGTTTCTATTAAGCAATCAAGCAAAGCATCTTTCTATGCAAAAATCGCATTATTTTTTAGTTTTACTTAAAATACTGGCAATCTGCAGGTATTTTCGGTGAAAAATCATAAGGTAAATTTTATTGGAACACTCGGCTCCTTAACCGCTTTGCAAAAATGTTTGGAAAACTTTTAATAATTATTTCTAGGTCTTTTTCCAAAAATGTTTCCCCGAACTGAAAAAGTGAAAATTTATAATTATTTGTTTGTAACACTATCTGCAAACTGGAGTTTCTTCACTTTTAGGTCCATATTTCTAAAGAACACTGTCTCTAAACAGAAAAACCGCGTTTTTCCTAACGTCTTACTGTAAAATACTGGCAAATTGAATCTTTTATGCACAAAATTGAAGAGATCGATTTGACAGGAAAACTCGTCGACTCAATTTGGACTCAATTCTGTTGCTGGGAAAATCTCGGTTACTTTTTTTAGTTGTTTGAACAAAGTAGTAAAACGTTATTCAGAAAAAATGTTAATAACCCTTTCTAAGATGTGAAAATTCCAGTCTCGGGTCTCGTAAAGCGTTAATAAATGAATTATAACTCATTAACCGATGAGTTAGCGTTAACGCATTAACTCAGAGAGCGGCCACAACTCAATAGCGCAACTCAACCAAGTGTTACCCAGGCCTAATCTACACCATTCTTTCGTGTGACACGCAACTTTTTTCTCAGTGTGTCCGCCCACCTAGTCAAATGAAGAATCCCGCCATGGCAATTCAAAGACAACGCGCCATTCTTTCCTACCTTTTTAGTGTGTATGTGAATAAAAAATACGCAAATCTTGAAAACAAATTTTAAAACAAACTTTCCGCCTTAAAGAAGCGATTGTCAAAGTGTTGGAAGAAAAATGTTCTCCGCAAGGCCAGAATCACCTCAAAACTGGCGTTATCTTCTAATTAGGAAGTCGCACCTCGTCGTATTTATTCGGGGTGAAACCGTTGCTGAATTTATTTCCGTGACTTATACAGCGCCGAGGGGAATGCCAAAAGAGGAAATTGAAAAGTTATATACTTAAATAAAACTTGAAGCGTTCGGAATCGAAGTGGCGCTAGCGCAGACTTCTCTATCTCTTAGGGACTCCACTTACTCGCATACTAACGTAATAAAAGCTGTCTTTTATGGAAATTCTGTTTAAAGTTTCCGAAACACGAAACATCACAGAGAAGTAGAGGTAACTAAGGGTTTTATACCAAATTGGTAAAATTTGAATATACTGCCCAAACTGCCCCTTTTTAAGGGGCCACAGGCGGCTTTAGAAGACCCATAAAGGCAATTAAAATAGAGAATGCTAGTAAATAGTTGAAAGGAATGCTTCGCGGGAAAAGTAGCAAACATAAAAAAGTCTGGAAACTAATTTAGGGTGATCTTTCAACAAGCGAAATTTTATGCCAGTGCCGACGTTCATGCTGATGAAAAGCTGCAAGTTCAAAAATTTTTCAAATCGCCAACTGCATTTATTAATTTCTTTCCAAAATCAATACTCCACTAGGCAAATCAAGCCGGAAATACATTTTTATCCACGAGAGATTTGGGCCGTTGCAAATGCGTGGACGTCTATGAAATTGTTTTAACGGCACTGTCAATGTAACCGGAATATTTGGTTTCAATTTCGCATTCAAATAGGGGTTGATGACTGTTTTTCCCATTTTCCTGAATAAATATGTATCCATGCCTGGCTGTATTCTTCAGATGCCAATTTAATATTAACTCGCTTGCAAACAATTAGATCTGCAAGAACAAAACTATTCGTTGGTTTAAATAAAATACATAAGTGCAGTGGGGGATTATTTCTTTTAGGTCAGTTCAATCGGAAAGGTCACAAGCCTTGCTTTTTTTTGCATTTGGGGGTAATTTGTGATCACTTGGAGCATTCGCAAACTCTCTTGCAATTCAAGCGAACATATTTTTCAGCCATCGGCCTACTAAGCACGGTGCACATATCATATCATAAGAATCCGTAAATAAAGCTGTGGAAGAAAAATGAATTTACACGCCAATATCTGAGTGAAAATCCTTTAGACTATTCAATTTATTGTTTGAAGTGCTTCGCCCCATTTTCCCTTGTTAGTAATATTACGAGCCCCTATAAAATACATCTTCCTCTGATTTCAGAAGGGTGTAAAGTCGGCAAAACATCGGTTTATTGGAATATTGCCGTTCCGGCAAACAATTCGACGACGTTCGAAGGCAGTTTAATATAAAACGCCTGCAGATCCGCTTAGTCAACGAAGATGCCGAGAAAGGTCAACTACTGCCGGATATATTGGTTGTTAATCGCAAATTAGGGCGTAAAAAGTCCAGGAAACTGTCCAGGGTCTATTGGATTGTTGGAACGACCTCTATCCAGTCTAAAAAGTTCGTCGGAAGCGAAAGAAATAGACTCGACATTACGGCAAACTGACGGCCCTTCGAAAAAGTTTCTAAAATCCCGGCATTCGTTTTACAATTTGGCATGACGTTTTTGAATAAAGTTTATATTCGAAAACTGCACCCCAGTATTTGATTTGGCAAGATCTCCTCGGGCGCTGGATATTCTGTTATCGCAGTCACTTGAATTGAATTTCTTCCATTTGGTCTTGTTGCCTTCGCTGCTGACCCGGAATCCTTTGTTCTGACAGGGCTATATTCTTTTATTTCTTTGCTTCCTCTTTAATGAGAACGAAACCCAAATATTTACTCTGGATCACTTTAACTCAGTCGGATATGTTTCCAGTTTACATTTGCAGCATCAATCACCTGATTATTTTTCAGGATCACTTCAGGATAGTCAACAAATCTTGAGTTCCAAATTTGTCATTTTCAAGGATCGAATAGAAATAACTGTTCCGTTCCGTTCCGTTCAGGTTTCGGTACAAGACAACATTTTAAATTTAGGTTCCGGTTACGATTCCGGTTTAGAAAATATTTTCCAATACTGTTCAATTTCGGTTCCTTTCGGTTTTTTTGGTTAATTTCGGTTCCAAAATCTATACGGGGTGATTCAAAATTGGTGTCATTCCTTTTAAGGGTTACCCCTTAAAGAGGCTCACTTTTTTTCAATAATTTCTGGAAGATATCAACAGTTGAAAATCGAATTTCAACTTTTGCAAGCATTATTTTGGAAGTGTTCCATCTTTAATTGGAAGCATATTGGAATACTTAAGCATTCAAAAAGAAAAATTACGACCTTTGCTTCAAATTATGAAAAATGTTTATATTAAAAATTGTATATACTTTCCTGACTGTGTTTCAATTCCAAATCAAATTCATTCCTGGGTTTCAGTCATTTATTGTCTCTATTTATCAATCAAAATACGTTTCG